AACAGGTGCTCAGGTTGAAATTATAGGACATTTTCAAGAAGATATTTAATGGTTTCTGTTCATCTGTCTTTTGCAGAGAACCTGGTATGGGACGTCCTCCTCTTAGGGCTCAAGACTTTATGGCTAGTAACCCTGAACATCTGGAGCTGCTGAGGCGAATGGGTGTCAGTCTCATCCATTTGAAGGATGGCAGAGTACAACTCGTTCAACATGCCACACAGGTACCATGCAGACCCAGCAAGCCTGTGTTTATCTTTTTAACACTATTTTATTCTTATTAAGGCAATAGTTATAAACACAAATATTATATTTTATTATATTATAAATAATAAGGGAATTATACTATTTAAGTTGTGTTTTGAATCTGTAGATTCAAACAAAATCTCCCTTTCTTCCTCACTGCAGGCGGTGAGCGCAATCGCTGCAGAAGACGGCATGCGTTTCATGCAGGAAATGATGGAGCTGTCCAGCCAGCAGCAGAAAGAGCAGCTTCCTCCACGAGCTGTTCAGATTGTTTCGCACCCCTATTTTGGTCGAGTGGTTTTGACCGCAGGCCCTGCGCAGTTTGGATTGGATCTTTCCAAAAGCAGTTCTGGAGTGAGTATGGTTAACTCTGACCTTTTATTATGAACTTTTTTGTCTATTTCTGTGTTGTTCTTGGTTTGTTCTTGCTACAGGGTATACATTTTTTTAGTCATGCTATACTGTGTATTTTGTTCTCTTTTTCCTTCTCCCTTAGATGCGTGGGTTCGTAACCGTAGCGGAGCCCTATAACGGCTGTTCTGAGTTGAGTAACGGTGAAATTGTGGCAGGCCGCATCGCTCTGCTGCAAAGAGGCCAGTGCATGTTTGCAGAAAAGGCCAGGCACATTCACAAAGCTGGGGCCATCGGAGGCATCGTCATAGGTGAGATATGTTTCATTGAGTCAAGTCACCTAGATCAGGAGTTTTCAATTCTTTTGATGTCAATATCCCCTAAATGTAATGATTTCCTCACAAAGAACTCCCCCTCTAAACAAACGGCCTTTATGTTACTGAAACCCAAGCAAATTATTAAAATATTATCTGGAAAATATTTAGTTTTTATTAAGTTGACAGTGTATCCCCCCCCATTAATGTTACATGTGAAACTGTTTAAGTCAGATACCTTGATATAGCACTTTTCATGGTAAATAATTTTCTAAAGCAGTTTTACAGTTACGTTGACAGCCTCAAAATAAGCCCTTTAGTATTTTTTTTTCATCTCATATTTTCCACTGACCCGCCCAAAACCCTTTTGTGGGCCCCTGGGGCCTCTTGGACCCCTGTTAAAAAAAACCTGATCTAGTCAATGGACTATATTTGACCATGGCTGCTTAAAATGATTCATTATAATATTTTTATTGCCTTTGTACCAGTGCTATTTTAGATTAAAATTAAAATATTTATTCATGTTTTGAATTATATTTATTTTTTGTATTTTCAGTTTTCATTGTAGTTTGTCATTTTATGTAATTTTTATTCGTTTTTTTTTTATTTCAGGATAGCTTTAATGTATTTTTAGTTTAGTACTTCAACTTATTTTATTTTAGTTAATTGCCAAAACAACATTCATAATTTTCTTGTTTTTTTAAGTTTAAGTCCCTTTTTAATTTATTCCAAATTTTAATTAGCAAAAATGATTAAATAGCTTTAGTTAACAATATAAACAATGTTTTCTACAGAATAAATCAGTCTTAGTATTACTCTCTTCTGTTCTTTGTCGTTTCTGTTTAGATGACAATGAGGGCAGCAGCAGTGATACGGCTCCATTGTTCCAAATGGCGGGAGATGGGCGGAACACTGATGATGTCACTTTACCACTTCTTTTCCTGTTCCACAAAGAGGGTAACATCCTGTTGGAGGCTCTAAAGGAGTACAGGGAGGTGGAGGTGCTGCTCAGTGATAAAGCTAGAGACAGAGGTGAGACACTTTCTAAGACAGAGCGAAGATGTGAATATGAAAAAATGTTAATATGTGAGGAAGTGTTAACACGTTGCATCATCTACTTTCATTCCTTTCTAATTATCCTTCCTTTATTACTCTTTCCCTCTGTGTTTGTCTTTTCCCTTTCCACTACTTCCCCCCCCCCCACCTTCTTGGATGAGCAGAATCCATATTTAAGGGGAAAGCCCTCCCGGGCACCCTGTTGGATGGCAGTAAGTACCCCTCCTCTATGGGTTTCCCTTCATGCATCAAACCCACTTGTTTTTAATGAGTCATGTTGCAAAGATCATATTTACTAGTTGAATGAAAATAAATGCCATCACCAAGTAGGAAATTCTGAACATTCTTTAGGCCTTGAGTTTCTGAGTTGGAGGCATGTCAGTAAGAAAATATGGTAAGAAAATAGATGCGGTGTCTGTACTGATGGTAAATTTATTGAAATGAACTAAATTATTATCTTTCATTTACAATTAAACTTGCTAAGGATCTGTTTACACCTGGTATTAAGATGTGTTTTTGTCAATCAGATCTCAAGTGGAAAACATTAAATACAGGTATAGATGGAGTCTAAAACATTTTGACCACTTTCCAGTGGTTGTTGAAAAAACTAATTCGACCAGATTTCTTTCATAGCGTAGACACTTATGTGGTAGAATGTGTTCGAACAGCCACAAAGGACCACCTACTTTCTGCCCACTGATCTAACACGTGAGCATTATGGGACGTGTTTTGAGAAAGTGCACCAAAATAATTTACTCCAACTTGATTACAATTGGAATCGACGTTACCATTTGCTTCCTTTCCCGCTCGCTTATAAGCAGCATAAAACTTCCTTCATTCAGTCGTATTTGTGCACCATACTCAGCACTTCCACAAAATAACCATGTGATGAAACGAGAGGGGAGGGTCTGGACAAAATCCAAACACAAGTGCACACAGAAGATGTATTTAAACACATAACAACCAGGTGTAAATGGTAATGCGTCTCGGCTGATCACTTGTGATTGTATCTCTGAAAGCTCATCTTAATACCAGGTGCAAATACTGTTTAAAAAACGATAGTCGTGTATAACAGAATATATAACAAATATATAATTCAATTTACAGCACAATTTGTTGTAGAGCAAAACGGCACGTTCACGACGTAATGGTTTAAAATGAAAAACCCCATTATAAAAACCCTTAGGAAAGTCTTGTGGGAACCCATGGCAAATGAGTTTTCTGTGTTTTGACATTAAGGCTGCAGCACTCTATACGAGCCCAGGAGAACTTGAACACACCAAAAGTTTATGGACTTGTATTAATGCAACTTTACTTAAAATCGGCATTTTTCTTGATGACAAAATCTGATTTTGATGACAAAATGTCATCATTCTCCAAACCTCATGTGACTTACTAGGTTTTGTCAGTGATGTGTGATTGATATTAAGCAGATTCCTTGTAGTTCATTCAACTGACTTTTTTTTCAAGGTACGGATGGAGCAGAAGAAGAGGACTGCTCCACAGAGGAGAAAGACCACACTTCTCCCGCCTCTTTGGAACCTGTCGACCAATCACAATTAACTACTCAGGAACAGACAACAGACGACTCAGTCTTAGGACAAGAGTCGGTTCAGCCAGCGGAGGGACTTGGCAGTTACGTCTCCGTGGATGTAGGGGAGGAGCCTGCGGTGGACGGAGACTCCAGCAGCCAATCGGTGGATTCGCTGATGGCTGATTGGCAGGAGGACTTGGAAGCGTTTAAGCAGATGGAAAAGGATGAGCTTTGACATTCCCCTCCATCTCGGACTCCGCTAGGTTGTCCCAGCCATAGCACAGACTGAGAAATCGGTTCTGTCGAATAGGGTCAATATATCAGACAGGTGGGATTAAGAACTCTGACTCGAAGAGCTCATTTTCTACGGCCAGTTCTCAGGGGCTTTTCTTTCCTATTCACATCTTTCCTGTTTTCTTCAACTGAACGCTCACCCACACGAGCACTTGTCTGTTTCTCTACATGCCTAGGGTGCACACTCAGTCCTGTTTTTGTCTTCCTTCTAAGAAATGGATTCCCTGATTATTGAAGCGCAGGCTTAAATAATCAGTTCTGATTAATCATCTGAAGGACTGATTACTTTAATGGCTGGTTTAACTGTGACGAATTGCTTTTTTGCAATAGGATTCATACTCGGTTCTTGTCTCAGTTTGCAGGGTCTGAAAAAAGAAAATACGAAGAACTTTATGAAATGATATATGTGTATGTTTGAGTGTTTGTATGTATGTATGTATGTATGTATGTATGTTTATTGTTTTTGATTAATAAGTGAATCAGCCTGGGAGCCAAACAAACAAACCTCCTGCAGATCAAAAATGCTTCTTCTAGCCTTCTGCATTAAGTATTTAACAGTCTTACACATTCAGTCCAGCTAATATGACTTTATAATGAGCTCAATGTTTTCAAAGAAAAGCATTAAAGGACCACTGATGACAAATTTGCATGTCAGTGACAGTGACAGACTTTTTTTCCAAGGATGAAGGAGACGTGCGAAGCATCCTGAAGGATCCGCCAGAGGGCGCCATTGCTCCATTGCGCCCAATAGCTAATTAATTGACTGGGAGACCATGCCAGAGGGCGTGAAATGTGATAAGCTCAATAAAATTAATTGAAAATTTTAATATACGCTTCCTTTTTATTGGATAGGCTTTCTATCACGTGTAATATTTATGGGGGAAGGGGGAACTTGATTACATTTTAGCATTATGAACTTGAGCATGTGATAAATAAATTTTCCTCCTTTAAAGCAGCAGTTAGGCTGTTGCATCCAGGGGTGTAGCACCAAATGTTGGACCCCAGCCACACAACCAAGGGGGTGGGCCCCTCACAACACAACATCATTTGCTTAAAATATTGATTTAAAAATGCATAATTTCTTGGCAAAAGCAATTGACAATATTGGAAAGCTCTTTTTCAAGACATGCTACTGGGGGTGATGAGTGGAAAATGTTTTGGATAATTTGACTAGTTCCTCCCCTCCTACGTCTAGGCATGTGGTTGGTTTGCCACACGCGCTTCAGCAAGATGGCTGCAGTTCTTCGAGCAAATCAGGAGTGCAGGCTGTAAGCCAGCGGTCCACATCACTACAGCAGCGCTTATTCCGGCTGCGCGTGCGTGCGTGCGTGCGTGCGTGCGTGTGTGTGAGTGAGTGAGAGAGCCGACGCCAGTGGACCGAGCGGGTCACTTCTGACAAGTGAGTGTTTCCCTGTCATATTTATGCGCTGATGCTTGTGTTAATTGTTAGACGCAAACCGATTGCTTTTCTTTGTTGCTGGTCTTTGGTTAGTCGATTCCTGCTTTGGCTCCTGACTGGTTCTTTTTTTGCATGATCAGTTTAATCTGATTTGTGAACAGTGATTCTGGGCTGCATGGTGGTGTATGGGCTGTGTCTCAAAACCTAGTATTCTGCCAGTCTACACAGCATTTTTGGGCATCTTTAGCGTCCAAAACGAATGCAATATTTTGGGGCGACTATGATGCCCAAAATGCTGTCTAGGTAAGCAGTATTCTAGGTTTTAAGAGACAGCCATGGTAGACAGGAATAGGTGAGATCAATAATTGGTTAATATATTGCAAGGACGTTAATTGATTTCCTCCCGTGTTTTTATGTGGTACTACCGAACTGGAAGTAAAGAAAACAAAACCTGGGTTGGCATGCATGCACACGTATACGCGTGTGTGTGTGTGTGTGTGTGTCTGTCTACTGTCCTGCGGGCAGACAATGCGCTCTCTGTCTCTGCCGTGGCGCAGCTGTCTGTGTGTCCTTCTGTCACTGTGCTTTCATATGCAGTATTTTCGCTAGCGCGCATTCAATGTATCGCGGTGTGTTTGAATTGCAGACATGTTTACGTCTAGACTCTAGAGGGAGCTGTGCGTGATTTAGCGACGTCTGATTCGTAAGTGAATCATTCCTTTGAGTCGGATCTTTTCAGTTAATCGGTTGAACTGGATCACAGAACAGCACCGATCGATTCGTTCAAGAATCGGTCAGAGCGGCATTTCGAATCAACTCACTGACTCGGTGAACTGAGAATGGAGAAATTTTACTTCTCTAACGTTACTAATAGTAGGCGAAAAGAGTAGCATGTCTGAAGTCACAGTATTCATAAAACTTCTGGCGAGAGCCTAAAGTGCGTACTTTACTATCCCATGGGGCCAGGTAGAGGATTTGTGGATGACCGTGAAGAGATTCAACTGATGCTGGTAGGTCACATGATAATGACGGAATGGCCAATGTTGTAATACGGATTAAATTCATACTGCACACATTCTTACAGTATAGAACATACCTTTTTAATGGTCGGAATATGCTAGCCTATTTTGAATGCAGCTAGTTATTTAACAATGTCTTATACAGGATTTAAAGGAGGGGTAAGCGATTTTTCAAAAACGCTTTAGAAAACGGATTCGGGCCGACTAGCAAAACAAACTTGTAATCAATTGTAAAGCCAATCAGCAGTAAGGGGCGTGTCTACTCATGATGTGGAGGAGAGAGCGTTCAGTGCACACATTAGCGAGCGGAGCGACAGAAAGATAGAGATGGCGGATAAAAAAACAAGAGGAAAATATCTGCGGAACAGAAGAAGGCTTAAAGGTGCCATAGAATGCATTGATAGAAGGTATGTGGCTTAGGTAAGGGCAAAAAATCTCCAGAAACGGTTTTACATGTCCATTTTAAACCCTAGGATTTGTCCCTAGAATGAAATTCTATGTCTGTTTTTACCTTATTTGGAAGCTCTACCACTGAGCCACAGGAGAAAAAAAAATTTAACAACAACAAAAACTGGAAACGTTGAGACGGGCTTATTTAAAATGAAAACTCATTCTCTGCCAGCAGGAGGCGCTTTTAGAGTGATAAAACTAGCGCTTTCCCCAGTAATGGCTGTAATCAAAGCAGCTCCGCTCATGAACGCTACTTTATCAGATCAAATGAAAATGGCATCGAAACTTTTCTGAAGACAGTCAGTTCCCTTCAGAGATACATTCATATAAAACACCCGCGCCGTGTTATGTTATGATCCGCGCAGTGCTCATGTTTATTCAACAAAGTCAAACGGCACAAATAAATCAATGTATGGGAAACTGGTAATGTATATCGGAAATGTGTTTAAAAATCATATCACCGTTATTGAGAAATTATATCGCGATACAGATTGATATTGAATTATTGTCCAGCCCTATCATGAATAGAATGCAGCAGCAGTTTTCTGTCGGGGATTTGTCGTGTCGTGCCGCGCCGCATCCAGTGTAGACCATAGATATGTATGTATATATATCTATGGTGTAGACAGCATCACTGATTATGAGTTCCATAGTATTTTGTCGCGCTGCGCCACTCGTGTCCGGTGTAGACACGGTGTAACATTGGTTTTGCTTTGTTTCACAGAACTAATCGTTGCCTGGGTTGCGTACGTATGTGTGGGGCGGAGCTATCAAAATAGGGGAGTGTTTGTTTTGGTGATTTCAAATGTCAACATTGGCTACCAGAAATCGCTTACCCCACCTTTAATGATGTCTGATTCATAAACGAATCTTTCCTTTGATTCTGTTTTTTTCAATGGCTCTGTTCATTAATGAATCTGACTGAATCGTCTGAGTGGTTCCTGAATCAACTATCTGACTAATTGAACTTATGTAGACTCAAATTTGACCTGCAGTGATCTATCTTTACAACTCTCCAACTCACTGAACCTTGAACCATGTTTGTTAGACTTGTCTGACTTGCGAGTGATTCATTTAATTTTAGAGTTCCCTTACTCATTACAGACAACTGATTCTTTCAGATGTGTCCAACTCTGAATGATCTGGTTTGACCGCTCACAGACTCTGTCGAGCCATTGTCGTGTTGTAACCCCTAACAGAATCCTGTTGGAGCCTAGAGCGATTCTATTGACTGAAATAACTTGTGCCAACAGTCAGGTTCCACAAGATCCCATTAATTTTCTTCTGAAACGATTGGATTTTTAACTATAACATTTAAACCTTTGAAAGCAGACCTATTGTGCGTTACAAGCCGCCACATGGAGTCGTACAGGGGGATAGAATCTCACATGATACAGTCTCTTTTGCACACATATGATTCGTAATGAACCAAGTATTGATGTGTGTGTTGATGCGAAGAACATTTGGAGTGAACTGAGTGTTTGACTGACTGGGTGAAAAGTAAATTAGCCAACAGCAGAAACTGAATAAAACATGGGCTACTAGAAATGTTAACAACCTGATTGTAAGACTATTTTATCAATGTTTGCTTATACAAAGTAGTTGTTGGTTTTAATAGCATTTTAAAAGACTTTAACCAGGAAATTGATTTTAGTTTTAGTTTAATGTAAATGCAAATTAGATTTAGGCGCTAAACAGCTTTTTTATGAGCTGATTCATGGCTAAAATAAACTGCCTTTACGTAATTAACAAAATATGCTTCATAGGACTTTATAGGAATGTTGTGGAGATGCTGGGATGTCAGTGGAGATGCTGGGATGCCATGTGATGATGTAAAAAAACTGCTCAGTCTTTTTTTTCTTCTGAAGTAAACCGTTCGAAAGGACCAATTTACGGAAATGAGTTGGACTTAGCTCTGGGGAGACACGGTCGGCTCTACCTCTCTCTCTCAATCTCTCATCAGTCTGACGCCTCCATCTGTCTCTCATCCATAAGCAGTGTGCGTGTTGCTTTGCGCACATATGGCTTTTGTTCTGGTGACTGAAGAGGCTGAATGGCTATTAATAGTGTCTGTGGGTCCTCCTCTTGGTCAGTCAATTGCAATCTTCTCCACCATCACAGCTCCCATCTCCGACTCAGCCTGTTTTATTCAGTTTCTCCCGCGAGCTTCATGGGACCTGAGAAAAGCGACCCAATTATCTCATGGGGTTATGATGCAATGTCAGGGTGACATCACTCAGAGGAGGTTACTGGAGGTGTATGTGGGAGGTTCCTATGGCGGTGTGGTTCTGATGACTGAGGAAATTGCATGTGTGTGTACTGTGAATTGCAACTTTTGAATTTAGTACATTGACAGCACAACCTTATCTGACTCTTATGCAGTGTGGGGTATTTTGGTCAAGTGGTTAAAGGAAAATTGTCATTATTTACTCACCCTCAGGTCCTTCCAAACCTGTAAGACTTACTTTCTTCCGTGGATCACAAATAGAGATAATTATTAAAAAATTTTTGCTTTTTTCCACACAATGAACGTGAAATAATGTAAATAGTCCATATGACTCATGCTGCTTGTTCCATGTTTTTTAAAACTACAATTTTGTTTGAGGAACTGACTGAAATTTAATTCTATTCAGTTACTTCAAATTGATTCAAGTTCCCCTCTTCCACAGCTTTCAGTAATCTTTTTCATTTGCATTTACTTTGTTTGCATTTGAAGTAAAGCAATACAAAAAGGTAAACAATGTGTCTTATGACTGACCTGGGCTGGTAACCAAAGGATGTAGTTTTGAACACGTGATCTGTATTTCATTGTTCTTAGGTTGCTTCAGGGATTTATTCTTGTAATAAATCCTTTTGTCTAATAATAATAATGATATAATGACATTCAAAGTTAATCATTAAAGCTACTAAGAATTAATAAAATACTAAGAATGAATAAATGTAATCGCCATTCAATTTTGAAAAATAAAACTGACATTTTTCATACTGTACATTTTATACTAAACATTTATGTGGTTTACCTTTAAAATTGTTTACTATTTTAGTATTGTATTATTTTTAAGACCAATTAATACAGATTTTTAATCTCTGGTAATTTATTGGTTATTGTCAATTATTGTTACCATTAAAGGGGTCATGAACCGAGAAATCAAAATTCCCTTGATATTTTGACATATAAAGAGGTCATTGTACTATAAAAACATCCTGTAAGTTTCAGAACTGTCTCATTAGTCTAAAAACGGCTTATATTGAAGCCAGTCTGCCAAAATGACAGGTTATGGAGTGTTCTACTCTGATGTAATAGTGCAGCTAAACGCCGCCTCTGCAGAAGAAGATCAACACATGCTTCTACAACGCTGCCTGTTTAGCCCCGCCCACCGATTCACACATGCAGTGTAAATAACGAGAAAGGCAAACGCAGGTCTACGCAGAAATCAAACGATAAAGATGGCTCGGAAGGAAACAAGACACTGCAGTGCCAAGTTGTGGAAAAACACAGTATTTGCATTGCCTTCCTTTTGATCCCAACAT